TAGATGTAGACGCAGACCGCGCTGGCGGCGGCGACGGGGCCGTCGCCTTTCTTGCTACTCCAGGTGATGATGCACAGGCTGCTCTGGCGGACGCTGATGAGAGCGCTGAGGACGTTCGTGGCGCGCGTCTCTTTGCGTATTCGATGACGCCCTTCGCCTCGACCTTGGCCGTGTCGCGCGTGTTCCTGATGGCGCCGTTCGCTTCAGCAGCGACCATCATTTTGTTCCTCTGGAGGAGCGTTCCCACCGCTGGCCGACCGCGAATATGCAGGGATTTCCCCGTGCGGAAACGCTATGTTCATCGGCGTCCAGCGGCGCGCCTTTCTCTATTGCCGCGCGGCGGCGGTGGCTGGCCTCGAGGAGTGCTTCCAGTGGGTGTTCTCATTATCCACGTGCGGTCTGGCGCTCTGCCTAGATTGTTCTCCGAATGCCTGGCAGCGGCGGTCGAGGGCGTTCCGGGGGCGCGCCCCTGGTGGCGCGCTCCAGATGCGCGCGGCTTTTTCTTGTTATCGCCCCCAGTGACGCTTTCCATGCGCTGCGTTTCCCGGGTGTCGCCCTGCTCGCTGTTCTCTTCGCTTCGACGCAGCAGGCGCGCGCGGGCCCGCGCTGAGCTCGCCGCCCAGCATGGTGCGCGTCGGCCGTTGGCGTTGAAATGCGCACCCCCCCTCCCCCCTCGTCCGACCTCGGGGCAAACGAGCCAAATGTGGCCAGGTGGAGTTGATTGTTGCCCACTGCTGGCCCTTGTTGGCCCATGTCTACGAAGCCCGCCGAGCCCAAGGCTATCGTCGGACATTGGCCCGCCGGCCAGGAGCAAGCGGAGGTGGAATAACGACTCATCGTCTGTATTTTTTGCAGTCGGGGCGCGGGCCCCCTGGGGGCCTCGGCCCATGCCCCAGCTGCTTTTTCGCCCCGAGCCGCCGTTCGACGGCGCCCGGCCCTGGCGAGGGCCCCTGAAGGCCAGGAGTTTCAAGAGCCCGCCGCCTTGGCGCGTTGCCCAGGGCGCGAGGAGTTCGGCAGGGCGGCCCACCTCTCCCGGGGCGCGATTGGGCCAGACCCTCCAAGGCGAGCCCGCGCGCGACCACTAGGGCGCCCCGGGGCCCCGCTAGAAAAATTCGAACGCCCCGATATCTTCAAAGTCATGTCCTTGTTCGTCGAACCCCCTCCACGGCCCTCTTCCTCAGTCTCCGATTTGAACCGTGCCGCGCGTGAACTTGCGACGCGCATGGGAACGCCAGGCGCCGACTTCGAGCTCGCTCTCGAATCTGCGCCCCCCCCCGCCGACGCCGTCGAAGAATTCGAGAGGCGCGTCGCAAACTGGCCGCCCCCCTGACAGGCAGCCGGGGCCTCTGGGCGCGACAGGGCCCCCACTGCTTCCACCTGCGCAGGCAGTTGGTGCGGCGAGCCCTCTGCAGGGGGCTGCGCCGGGGCGACAACTGGGGGAGATTCTCAATTATGCGATGGCCGCGCGCGGCATGGCTCGCGCGAGCTCGAGCACGACGTTTGCACCCCGACTGCTTTTCAACGCCAGCCTCGCGGATGCGACGACGCAGGCCCCCGATGCGATGCGGAGGCTGGGCATTTGCTTTTTCGACGACGGAGCGATAGCGATAATGGGATTTGCCCGACTCCGCCCCCTGCCGCGGCGAAGGCAGCAGAAGTGGTCGCGGCCAGATTCGTTCGCAGAGGGCTCAGATTCAATCATGCCCAGGAAAGACTGAAGCGCCACTTCAGTTCAGGGGCAAGGGCGCCGAGCGGGCCAAGGGGATGCCCTGGCGCGACGGGCAGGGCCAGCTCTAAAGTGCAGTCACCTTTCCTCGGCGAGTTCACCCTGCTCGGGGTGCGCAGGTGCCCGCGCCTAGGCGCGGAGTTATACGGAATGGGGCCCATCGGCCCCAGATTTGGCTAATCGACCGCAATTCGGGCCGAGTGTCGCGCGGGCGGATGTTCGCGCGTGGAACATTCTTAGAGCTGCCGCGCTACATTTCACCGACGCGCCCCCCCCCCTCTGAGGCCCCCCGCTCACTTCAGGTCCTTGGCCTGACTTCACCGACGCACCGCGCGCGCATGGTGCGGCACATAGTGATCAGCCCGACCGCCTTATACTTGCTACGGTAGAGCGACGCACAGTGTTGACAGGCTACGATATTAGGGCGCTTCTCACACCACGGCGCATTCACTTTGCGAAGCCTTGCGGCGCGCGCACTCCGCGCAGCACATGCGCTGCGCGCGTCATGGTTACGCCGGGCCTTGGACGATTTGCAGTGGCTGCGCCATGCGCGTCATTAGTACCGTGATGTGCCCGACCCAGAACTGGAATTTGACAGCTGGGAAGCGTGCGTTTTGCATTTTCTGCAGGCTTGGAAGGGCGCGCCCAACTCCGCCACGGCAGCGCGCGCTCGAGCCGCGCCAGCGCAGCAGTCGCATAATGTTGTTTTCGAGCTGGCACGACCAGCAGGAGTGCCGGCTCCAATCGCCGACGCCAGCCGCCCTCTTCATACTCCTACGGCACGCAACTCGGAACTTAGGTGCACGCGGCGCGACTACGCGGGGGCGGCGGCGAAGGGGGCTAGACAGCGCGCCGCGCGGGCGCATCGGCCGGGTCAATTCGGCGTCGAGGTTATTGGGGGGGGGCGCGGCGCGCGCGCCCTGCTCCGCGTCCTTCTCCGCCCGCGGGCAGCTCAGAGATCGCCTTGCTCCTGTTGCGGTGCAGCGCTACCATGTGCGCGCATTGCACGGCGCGGTGCTCGCGCCAGAGAGAGAGCTCGATGGCTCAGTCAGGCAGGCCTGCAGCGCCGGGCGGCCCAGCGATAAGCGGGCTTGGGCTGATGGGGGGCTGCCTACCCCGCTAGTGTCGGATGCCCAGAGGGCGGCCCCTGCCCATCTGCCGCGCTCGCGCCAGCATTTTTCAATGATCGGAAGGCCCGACAAGCACTGCAGGGGGATATCGACGAGATCGCACCAGCGGCCCTACCGTCATATCAAGCGCGCTTCGAGGCCCCCCAGACACAGCCGAACAAGACGAACTACTGTACGCAGACAGGGAGCTTCGGTGTATGACCTTGGATAACACAGGCTACGTTGTGGATTCTGTGGCATGTCGAGGCTACCTGGCACGAATTGTCGCGCTCAACTTTTTCAGGGTGCCGCAGAGACGGCGATGCACAATGCAAGCTAGCAGCTAGCGAGAGGAGAGAGCACCTCCCATCGGACTTCCATAACTGTCAACATGCTGCGTATAGACATAACCATTGACGATGATGACAGGGGGATATCACTTGCGCCAGCACTACCAGACAGCAGGGTGAGCACATCCTGGCCAGGCGAGTCTGGAATTTTAGGGGGGGGCATGTGAGACGTGGAGCGCGGCCAGATGGCTCCATGGAGGCACCCTCCACCACGCAGTGACGATTGGTTCTTGGGGGCGCATTGGACCGCGGAGCGGCGGGCTCTCCAGACACGAACAAGTCGCACTTTCTTGCAACATCTGGTGTACTTCTTGTGGTGTCATGTGGTTGCGGGGACCTCGAGATGGACGGAGCACCCGCTCCTGGCCCATTGGAGGCCTCATGCGCCTAGCAGCTTCCAATGGGGGCCACTGAAGGCCCGCGCGTCGTAGCCTGCTGCGGTCACCGCTGACTTCGACCAATGCGTCCACCACGACCCCAACTGCGACCCACCATCGGCAAGGCTCCTACGACTCTCTTGGGGCCCCGTATGAGGTGCCTGGCAAGGACGTGGACACCCCTCGAATACGCAAGGGTCAATACCCCAAGGGCTCCGACAAGGTGCTACAAGGGAAAAAGACTGCTGCTAACAGCCGACAGGCTTATCGGACGGAGTACCTACCCACCGCTCATGTGCAAGCATCTCGCTGCCTCGATCGCCGAGGCAATTTTTCAGACATTTACTGACCTTCTTGAGGCGGACATACATACATCGTGCCCTCGGGACCTCGTCGCCTTTTGATTAAGTTCTACGCGGCAGAGGTAGACCAGGACTCTGTCCCTGCTCCCGATTTCGCCGTCAAAGCAAGGGTTTAAAAAACGCCCCTACCCTGGTTTACGAGGCGCTGTGCGCTGAAACTCCTGTGGGCTGACAGGGTAAACCCTGCGTGGTGTGCGGCGTCCTGGCGTCCTCTAGGCTTTGGGGGCTCCCCGGAGGGTTTTTTTAGACCACGCACTTGTAACCCAGGGTAGGGCCGTTTTTTTATCCCTCAATCAAAGGAAAATCTGCCCATGGGGACCCGGAGAAGCGCCGTGTCTTCCTAGGCCCAGACATGGAATCGACCCCGGGGACTTCTGATAGAATAGATGAGAACAAGATGTGGGATCCGACTCCTACCCCTGCTCCGGCTCCGACTCCTGCTCCGACTCCTGCGGCTTTGCTTTTGCATGAGTTCCCCAAAGGACTGGGCAAGGAGGTAGATGCCGAAGATTTCCTAGCGGTTTTTCCGTCTCTTCCCCCCCTCGGCCCCGCCCCCCCCCCGCCGTTCCCCCCCGTCTTCGCCGCCGAACAGCAGGCGCGCATTGCCGCCAACCGCGAGCAGTCCCTCGCCGGGCGCGACGCCAAGAATGCCGCCGATCATCGGCGCAAAGCGCCGTGGGTGGATCAGCTCTCTTTCGGGGGCGCCTTCGACGCCCGCCCTGCCTATTGTGTTGTTGTTCTCTTCCCCCCTCGCAGTCTCAAGGATAATAGCAGGTCAATCGACCAGCATGAACACGGCATTTCGCCCAAATCAACGTCTGACCGACGACCGTTCTTTCCTTTCCTCCCCCCCTCCTTCCCCCCCTCCTCCTCCTCCTCCTCTTCTTCCTCCTCTTCTTCCTCCTCTTCCTCCTCCTCCTCCTCTTCCTCCTCTTCCTCTTGGTCCTCATCATCTTCGTCATCCTCATTCTCACCCGCACCCTCGCCATCACCAACGACATCGTCGGCATGCCCATCATCGCCCTCGTCACCATCAGCACCGTTGTCGCCATCTCCATCGCCGTCAGCATCCCCAGGACGCGTGGGCCAGCTGGAAGCCGCAGCCCCCGCCCACCCCGCCCACGCCGCCGCAGCGGCCGCCGCAGCGGCCGGCCTCGGCAGCCGCGACGCGGAGGGCGCCGCCGCCCGCGGACACGTCGGGCATGAACGAGGTGGGCGTGCGCCCAGGAGGAGGAGGAGGAGGAGGAGGAGGAGGAGGAGGAGGAGGAGGAGGAGGAGGAGGAGGAGGAGGAGGAGGAGAAGGAGGACGAGGAGGCGACGAGGAGGACGAGGAGGAGGAGGGGTGGGGGCCGGCTGGGGGCGCTGAGGTGGCCCAGCATCGGTTCCAGCGGGCAAGGCGGAGGAGGGGGAGGGGGGGGGGCGAGGTTCGAGGCTTGGAGTCCGAGGAGGCACTTTTCACCGAGGCAGCCTGCGGAACGGGGTGCTGCTGTGGTAGAAGCTAGTTCTGGCCGAAGGGGAGTGGAGCAGAGACGTCCTCAAACAAATCTTGTGTTCCGGGCCGACATCCTCACCGCTCTCGTTTCTGAGTTGTCCGGGATGGGCCGTTTCGCCTGAGACATTCTGAATCAAAGCTGGGCTCTGGGACGCCGCGCGCGAGGTGTTCCCGGCCGTTTCGCCTGAGACATCCTCGAAGCTCTCAGCCCCGAGATGCCGTGCGAGAGGTGTTCCAGGCCTTTTCGCATGAGACATCTTCGAAACTCTAAGCCCTGAGATGCCGTGCGAGAGGTGTTCCGGGCAGTTTCGAATGAGATATCCTCGAACATCTGGGCTTTGGGGCGCCGCGCGCGAGGTGGTCCGTGCTGTTTCGCCGGAGACATTCTCGAAACTCTAAGCTCCGAAATGCCGTGCGAGAGGTGGTCTGGGCCGCTTCGCCTGAGACATCTTCGAACATTTGGGCTCTGGGACGCCGCGCGCGATGTGGTCTGGGCTGTTTCGCCTGATATATCCACTAAGTTTGAAGCCTGGAGCTGCCTCGCGCGAGGTGGTTCGGCTTGTTTCGCCTGGGACATCCTCGCATCTCTGGCCTCCGACATGCCGCGCGCAAGGTGGTCTGGCTTGTTTGCTGCCGCGCGCGAGGTGGTCTGGCCTGGTTCGATTGAGACATCCTCGCAACTCGGGGCTCCGAGACGTCGCGCCTGAGGTGTTCTGGCCCGTTTCGTTTGAGATATCCTCTCAACTCTGGCCTCCGAGCTGCCACGCGAGAGGTGGTCCGGCGCCTTTCGCTTGAGACATCCTCCCAACTCGGGGCTCCGAGATGCTGCGCGAGAGGTGGTCCAGCTCGTTTCGCACATTCTCACAAAACGGGCCCCCGAGATGCCGCGCGCGAGGTGGTCTGGCCGGTTTCGCCTGAGACATCCTCGCAACTCTGTGCTCCGAGCTGCCCCGCGCGAGGTGGTCTGGCGCGTTTCGCCTAAGGCATCCGAGAGGGAGGAGAAAGGAGGGAGGAGGGGTCAGGCCCAAACGAAGCATTTGAGTCCACCTCTGTTGTCGAATTGTGCTCTGGGAGGGGTCTGGGCGCCGCCTAAAACATCCTTGGAACTCGGAGTTCCCAGATGTCGTACGCGAGGTGGTCCAGCCCGCTCGGGCTGAGATATCCTCGCAATTCGGGTCTCCCATCCTCGAAATTTTGGGATCCGAGAGGGAGGACAGGTAAGACCCAGACGAATCATGTGATCACACGTCTGTTGTCGTATTGTGCTCTGGGGCTCTGGGAGGTGTCTGGGCGCTGCCTAAGACATTCTCGGAACTCTGAGCTCCCAGATGTCGCACGCGAGGTGGTCCAGCCCGTTTCGCTTGAGACATCCTCGCAATTCGGGGCTCCGAGATGCTGCGCGCGAGGTGGTCTGGCACGTCGAGTCTCGCCTGAGATATCCTCGCAATTCCAGGCTCCTTGAAGGCGTGCGCGGGGTGGTCCAGCTACTTTCGCCTGAGACATCCTCGCAGCTCTTGGCTCTGAGAAAATGTGCGCGAGGTGGTCTGGCGCGTTTCGCTTCCGACATCCTCGCAACTGGGCTCTGAGATGCCGCGCCAGAGGTGGTTTGGCCAGTTCCGCTTCAAACATCCTTGAAACCTTGAGCTCCGAAAGGGAGGGGAAAGGAGCGAGGAGGGGTTACATCCACACGAATCAGTTGCTTACCTTCCCGTTGTCGAATTGTGCTCTGGCAGTGCTCTGGGCGCCCCTGTCCAGACGGAGCGGGTAGCCGGCGCCGAGGCGCGAGCACGATCCCTCGGTCGATGGCAAGGGCCGGTCAGAGAGGGACCATGCTGGAGCAAATCGTGGCGATGCCTCGGCTAGAGCGCGGCGGGCAGGGAGTAAATATGCTCCTCTCCGCCTCTTCTTACACGTGCTTCTCTCGCTGCCTGCCTTGCCACACCTTGACTTTGCGGCTTCGTACCGCCGCTGGCTGTTTGTGCTTGCAGGAGTTAAAGGGAGCGCGCTGGCCCGCACGCGCGCGCCGAGGGGTTCGCTACCTCGTCGTAGTCGTGTCGTCGGCCGGCCGGCCTCCTCCCTTACTACTCCTGAGTACAATCGCTTAACGGTTACTTGCAGCTTCATTGATGTATCATCCCGTATCCTCTACTACTGAGCAGAGTCAACACGAGACCTTAATTCTTTTGTCATCTTACCCGGACTCTCAGAGGAAAGACCTGGTTACCAGCCGAAGCCCGCAACCAAGTCGCGACAGGGATGAGCTATGATGAAACAGCCGAATTGCCCGCCAGAGACGAGCTCATATCACAAGTTGTACGACATGACGGGCAAGAATGACAGGACGGCGGCCCGGGGAGGGGTCGCCCTCCCTCTTCTTCTATCGCCACTCGGGTCTCTCGTGGGCGGAGTAGGGGAGAAGCTATAGATTTGTCCAGAGACGATTCTCCTTTTCGGATTCCGATCGGTGATCGTGAACAGACCCCAGACCCGACGAGGCGAGATGGCACAACAGCAAAGATCAGACGAGGAGCTTTCTCGTCGTTAGTTGCCGTATCTTCGGTAACAATAAGTTCCAGCCCTATTGCTACGCGGACTATCGTGCCGGCCGCTGGCCAAGCCAGCGGGTCGGGAGAAGCCGAAGAGTCCAGAGGCGCGTACCCCGCCGTCCCAGACGGATGGGGATACGCACAAGGGACTCATCCCATCCCGATAGCTTTGAACGGACAGACCGGCCAAGATAGTGACGAACAGTTTGATGATGGAAACGACATTATTTCCATGGAGAAAGACATTGAGTATGCCTACTATCAAGTGTCACTTGGCCGAGATTTGTCCTCGATAACGGATGCAGACCACCCCGTCCAAGACGAGAGGTGGCCCCCTGGGCAGGATGCGATTGACTACGATCAAGTGGAAGCCCTCGGGGAAGCATTGGCAATACCAGACTCGGACATTGAGGTAAGTGACCTGACGCCCCAGGCGGTCGAGGTGGAAATGGAATGTCCGACCCAAGCGAAGCATGGCCGGGAGGTCACAGGACGAACTCCCGCTCCTCAACTCAAGAAGCAAAGGGAGGAGGATTATGACTTGAATGACTCCCCGCTTCAGGAAGGGTTTCATCGGACTGCCGTCGCCACAGGCGATTGGCAACCGTCGATACCCGTCGTAGTTGAGGATGATGAAATGATTAACCCCCCGGCTTCGCTGGATGAGTTGATTAGACAAGACGAAAGGGATGAGGAGCTTCGAGAGACGGCTAGACCGCCAGAGAATACGCACATGCGTCCCAGATCGAATGCTTCGAGCCGGGGAAGGCTCAAGATACCCAGATCTGGAGCTCGATCTACATCGAGGAGCAACAGCACGATATCCATGCGTGAGACATGCTGGAACCATGGCCCCGACTGCCCGCCACTGGCAGAGAACAGGTGTCTGGGGAAAGCCCGCGAGCCTGGTGGAGCATGTAGGCGTCCAGTATGTAAAAGTTGCTCAGACGTGTGTCCCAAGTGTAGCAATCAGTGATTGCGCGTAGACTGCATGCCGATGGAAGAGCACAATTGCTCATAGCTTCTCCTCCATGCGATGCAAAATCAGGCTAGATATGTCGAGGCCAAAACCCAGCAATAATTCCTGGCCCGCGAAGCTCAGAGGGCCGAGAAAGCCCGACTGGACCGAGAAGAAATGAATGCAGTCGTTGAGGGCGTTCGGAAGACGTTCGAGGCCGAGAGGCTTGCAATGGCCCAGGTGGTCAGAGAACGGGAACAAGAACTGGTAGAACAGATGTTCCATCAAACCGCGGCTGCCAAGCAGCGCGCGGAAGAAGAAGCCGAGAACAGATATGTTGAGATGCTAGCCTCCGAACGACAAGCCGTTATGATGGCAAACAGGCAGTCTGTTGATGCGAAGACCGCATTCGCCGCTGTTGCGGCGGCGAGAATAAAAGGAGAGAGGATCGTTACAGCCAGGGCGGTACAAGAAAGAAAGGAGCTCCAAGAACAACTTCAATCTGCCAGGCTGGAAGCGGCCAACACCCATATTGCAACTACGACGATAGTTGATCATAATAAACAATATAGAGAAGAGCCGAAGTCACATAAGAATGCCAGAACATGTCTTCAGCGCGCGCAGCTGAGCGACATTACGTGCCCACCGGCTAAGCCGGCGGGGGCGAGTAGACGGCTGTCGCCGGCGGCCCAGCCGTCCGGCGCAAAGTCTATGCAGGCCCAGTCTGGCTCGACGACCATGGTAAGCGCGATGCCGCCGACGCTGAAAGCGAGAGCTGCGCCGCAGCCGCAGCCCGCGAAATGGGGCGAAGAAGAGAGTTGCTCGCGTTGCTTCAACCCGAAAGTAGGAGATTGCGCCACTTGTGGAATGCCAAGTTGCAAAGACCACCTCGATGAAAACACCAGGCGATGTTCTGCATATACTCAAATAAAGAGTTTGCCGGCAGAACAATGGAAGTGGGACGAGCAATGGCTGAAACACAGTGCCGACCAGGACACTCGGGTCCAACAGCAGAAGCTTCTTGACGAATGTAACGCTGACAAACTTAATGTTCGGCAGAAGAAGGAGCAAGCTGAGGAGCAAATTTGATTGGGCCCAGAGAGGTCAACTGCCAACATCCGGGAGAAGGATGAGGCTCTCTAGCACGCGCAGTGACATCAGAGAGAGAGAAGTGATGAAGCTCAAAACTATCATCACAAAGCCCTTTCCATATGG